GCAGGCAATGCAACAAAAGAAAAGATACAGCTAGTAATATTTTATGCGAATGTATGGTACTGGACAACCCAAATATGTCCAGAAAAGTATGACATACATGTAGCAAGCGATCTGTAAAAACTAGTACAGGGAACAAGATTGATGAAATAAGTGTCATGAAAAGAGAGGGGAAAATAGCAATAAGCCCATGAGGCTGCAGTGTTTCCCAGAGAATTAGCAGAAATGGACAAGCCAGACGGTTCTCAAGTAGTAGAAAAAAACTGCAAACGTTAAATGTTTTGTCATCATTTTTCACTTATAGGAGAAAAGGATGTTCAGTAAACGTTTGTGTATTATCGCGTATTCTGTTGATGTTGCTTGTGTATTCTTTGATCGTCAATACCTACTGTAGAATTTATTGTATACCTATAAAATTCTGGGACACAAAAGTGTGATGCCCAGAAAAAATAATAGAAGAAAGGACTAATTCTTTAGGTGTTCTGTGAAACTGACAAAGAAAGAAAAAATCACAAAAAACATTACACAAAAAAAAGTACGGTCCTGTAGTTCTACATATCGAGAGGTGCATTCAGTTCATATAACCTCATTTCAGATCTGTCATTTTCGCCAACAGTTATTCGCTAAATATGTAGAGCAGACACGGCGAATAACTTTTGGCAGAAATGACTGATATGGAATAAGAATATTGAGAACAGAAGGCACCTAATGAATTCAACTATTGTCTAAATATTAGCGATTTGCAATCAGAAACCTAGTTGAGTGTAAGATCAGTTTCTTTTGTGGAAAGACGGTGCTGAAATAACTTTCGCTTTTGAAAGACAGATGGTACTGCTTCATACAAAGAGAAATAATGTTCTCGAATTGAAAAGTTGTGCTATAATTAGAGCTTCTGAACCACCACACTCGTAAACTTAGAGTAAACATTCTATTAGAGGAATGTGTGCATTTTCTGCAGTATTAAATTATTAGGACAGACTTTGCGGAATATACTGAAAATTACCAACCTTTTCAGAAATATAATAGTCTAATATAATTTTGGTTTATTTTACATACTAATATAAATAAACGATTTAAGTACTATCATGCTAAGACTAGAACTAGATATATTTTAATGAAATAAACCAGCAGTTTATTTCATAATTTCAATTGTTATTGCACTTTCTTTTGCAGTTTCAACAAAAACGTCTGCAAAAGTAGGAGCAATTTGTGAAGTCTGTTATTTTTATTGAGCATTAATAATTTTATTACTCTTGGTAACTAACTGGAAATACTTTGGTAATGCTTTAGTTTGAGTGGCAGGATTCGTAAATGTGTTCTGTACTCTCAAGGAATTAGGCTGGTGGATTTTAAAATGGCAATGATATATCCCAATGTTACACATTTGTAAGGGTAACTATCTAACAAGAAAACTGAAGTCAATATTCCAGGTTTGATTGACCATGTACGTTTTGGTATATCGCCTAATTTCTTCAGAGTAGTTTTGAACCATATAGAACATTTCCAACGGGATTACATAATCCTATACTATCGATCTGGTTTTTGAATTATCTGAATGAGATTTGTTATGCAAATGTTAGGTATTTGCAAGTTCAATTATCAGAATATTTTATTCATCTCAAGAGTACAGCAGAGGAACTATTTTAAGTATTTAGTACAGATCTCTGTGATTGTCACAAAATTTTCACTTTCAACCTTTCCAATCTGAATATACAACAGATAGTTTACCAGAGGAATATCCCATAAATATTAAGGTCACCGTTTCCTTTCTAAGAAAGAACAAATTTTCAGTGGGATTTTCAAGACACCTGTCGTTCTTTTACAGATAAAATGATTTGCGATTACATACTTCACCCTGACATGTCTTGAAAATTATTATTAATCTCTTTATTCACTCAGATTAAGAAAGTAGGATTGAAAGGTATTTCTTTTTGGAAAAGAATCTTCCTCTTGAATTGTGGTTACTGCAGACGAGCCTCCTGTAGTGTTTGAGTCTGAGCAGCTGTCTGATAAGGAATACCAGGAAAAGCACCTGCAGTAGCCTGTAAACCAGGGGTTTGAGGTAGCGTAGCGTATGTGTATGGCATATAACTAGCTGCACCTGGAAAAATTCAAAAATTGTAGATATCTTGCAGGAGTGAATTCAAGAAATAATTCAAAAAAGTATTGTAGATATTAGAAAAGGCTTTCACGGCGAGTGACGATTAGATAAAACGAAATCCTGGGTGGTAGGCCGTGGTCGAATGGAAGTTTCGTCTGCTACTGCGGCAGACATCATAAGTGGTTATGTCAGCGAGGACGAAAGTTATTTTCGTAGCTCCAGCAACAAAATCAGTTGTTGCTGAGGTTTCGAAATATAGCCTTTGTTCTCGAAAACGCACATAACACTCATGATGTCTGCCGCAGTAGCAAACGAAACATGGTACTACAAGTTCCATTCGACCACGGCCTGCTAGCTCGGATTTTGATTCATCAAACTGCAGATATTGACTCTAATGAAAAATAATACTGATCACATTTTTAAGTTTGAACAACTGGTTTATTCTATAATTTTTTTTATATCAAAAGTTTATTTCATTTTATTATAAAGAACAAACTCAACCAGTTCACTTCTAGATATTGGTAAAGTGTTAACTAGATAAGTATTAAAATGGGTATTTACATAATATGTGTATGAAAATTAAACTATATGTGATGGAATTGGCGATACTTGATGACAATCCATATCGTATTCAAGTAACACTTTATTGTGAGATTTTCACAAAACAGTTAACAACTGCAGTGTGTGTTTTAATATGTCTCGTCTTTCTCAGCATGAACACGCCTGAGGAAGCTATTGTATAGTGAAACACGTGTTGCTGTTTTGTGAACTGTCCAGTAAAAATCTCACAAAGTGTTACTTGAATGAAGTATTTTGGGTAGAGGAATATTTTTCAAAGAGAAAGAAAGAAATATGAAGAAGAGGGTACAAGAGGGACTAGAATATAATAAACACTACAGTTGGGTCGATGAAAGAATGCGCATACGTTATCAATTTGTGACTAAGAATAAAGAAAAATGCCTAGATGGACAGAGCCATCTCAAATTGTAGGTTGAAATTTGTAATTAAGATTTGAAATTTTATTATGTGAAATATGAAGTACCCTCATTTCATAAGTTGTGAAAATAAGTATTAGTGTAAAATAGAAGAATTGAAACCGTAGAAACTTTTCATAAAATACATCTAAACACTGTTAAATTTCAAAAGGCCTGGAAATCGAAGAAATTGTCAACGACTCACGTTTTTTCAGCTATCTTCCTTCGATGAGTATGCTAGACACGGATGATCAATGCAGGCAATGCAACAAAAGAAAAGATACAGCTAGTAATATTTTATGCGAATGTATGGTACTGGACAACCCAAATATGTCCAGAAAAGTATGACATACATGTAGCAAGCGATCTGTAAAAACTAGTACAGGGAACAAGATTGATGAAATAAGTGTCATGAAAAGAGAGGGGAAAATAGCAATAAGCCCATGAGGCTGCAGTGTTTCCCAGAGAATTAGCAGAAATGGACAAGCCAGACGGTTCTCAAGTAGTAGAAAAAAACTGCAAACGTTAAATGTTTTGTCATCATTTTTCACTTATAGGAGAAAAGGATGTTCAGTAAACGTTTGTGTATTATCGCGTATTCTGTTGATGTTGCTTGTGTATTCTTTGATCGTCAATACCTACTGTAGAATTTATTGTATACCTATAAAATTCTGGGACACAAAAGTGTGATGCCCAGAAAAAATAATAGAAGAAAGGACTAATTCTTTAGGTGTTCTGTGAAACTGACAAAGAAAGAAAAAATCACAAAAAACATTACACAAAAAAAAGTACGGTCCTGTAGTTCTACATATCGAGAGGTGCATTCAGTTCATATAACCTCATTTCAGATCTGTCATTTTCGCCAACAGTTATTCGCTAAATATGTAGAGCAGACACGGCGAATAACTTTTGGCAGAAATGACTGATATGGAATAAGAATATTGAGAACAGAAGGCACCTAATGAATTCAACTATTGTCTAAATATTAGCGATTTGCAATCAGAAACCTAGTTGAGTGTAAGATCAGTTTCTTTTGTGGAAAGACGGTGCTGAAATAACTTTCGCTTTTGAAAGACAGATGGTACTGCTTCATACAAAGAGAAATAATGTTCTCGAATTGAAAAGTTGTGCTATAATTAGAGCTTCTGAACCACCACACTCGTAAACTTAGAGTAAACATTCTATTAGAGGAATGTGTGCATTTTCTGCAGTATTAAATTATTAGGACAGACTTTGCGGAATATACTGAAAATGACCTTCTACTTCAGAAATTTTATTTCATCTCACAGGAGCTAATGAAAACTTTAGTACAGACAAGGGTACACCAAGGGTTTGGACTTGGAGACAGATGGATGGGATGGGTGGTAGTATACCAGGTACAATAAAATTATTGTACACGGCGCCATTCGGTCATCTATGTAAATACTGTCAAACAACTTATGCCATCAAATTAATTTTTTTTAATGGAAAATGGAAGAAAAATTCCAGACAAGCAAGGAATTGGACTTCTCTCTTCAATGATTTTCCGTAGTTAGAGTACTTGAGAAAAGAAAATAATGCGGAAGGTTTTAAAAACTTCATAGTAAGCGATGAAGTTGAAAGAATCGTTTTAACGCAAGTTGAGTAGGATAACATGAAGGAAATGTTATTTTTTTAGTATTTTTAAATACCAAATTCTCCAAGACACTCTCAACCTCATCATCCACTGCATGTCAAGCACCTATTTCCTTTTCCAGGGAAAATTTTACAAACAACTGAAAGGCGCCCCTATGGGTTCCCCACTCTCTTCAGTCTTTGCAAACATGAAAGACTTTGAAACTTCATTGATATGTCTGACCTCAAATCTACGTGTTGGCTTCGATACGTAGACGTCGTCTTTTTACATGAACTCATGGATTTGAAAGTCTCCATACATTCTTCAACCACATCAGCTTCTCGCATCCCGACCTAAAATTCGCAGTGAAAGTCGAAAATAATCCAATAATTCACAAAATCCAATAATTCCTTCTCAAACACTGTTTATCAAAACTAACCCATACTAAACGTCAATGTTGAGTCCCATCAATTATCCTACTCAATTATATCCCGTTCTGAATTGTCTCATACACAGGTCTATAAGACTCAACGACAGCCACAATAGATCCAACGAACTAGATGAATTGAAATTCGACATCAGCCAAAACGACTTTTCCGAATCCCAAATCCAAAGATCCATTCAACTTCAGCAAACTCGTACCTACCCCGCATCTCAAACAGTCAAAGGAACAGATGGACCACCTAAAAGCTTTTCTTTCTTATATTCATGGAGTTACCGACAAAGTGAGCCGAATTCTGAAGAGGCACGATATAAGAACAGTATTCACAGCCAATAATCATATTTCTACTTTTCTACGAAGACTTAGGGACACAAAACCCAATGAGGTACAGGGCATATAAGAAATACCATGATCCACCTCATCCAGAACTTACATCGATCAGACCAACAGAAGAGTTTTCAACAGAGCCTATGAACGTGAGCTTGCTGGCCGTAAATCAGATCCAGCCTCATCCCTCTTCAAAAATCATCGTGAAACAGGCCACACAATGAGCTTCGAAAATACCAAAACTATTGCCACCGAAAAAACTCTCCAGGCCAGGATATTCCGCGGAGCTATAGAAATTGGAAAACGTCCCAACTGCTACAACAAACACGATGATTCACAAAGATTACCTCGTTCGTGGAGATCATTACTGTCACGCTATACATTTCACAGCATTGCGCACCTCGCTTCTGCAAGTAACAACCCCGTTCCCACTACCAGCTCCACCATCGCGGTTTCCATAGTCAGCAATCTGGGAATTGCATTGAACTGCGTATAGAGTTTCATGACGTTTCGGTTTCGAATTTGAAGCCATTTTCAAGAAAGTATAGCTACACTGAGGTCTTAATCCACCTACTCCTCAGACACACTTCAGAATTTTGTGACTTGACGCCGGTTTCTCAATCTACCTACTCCCCAGGTCTCGTCAAAGATCTCAAGCTGCATGCTCATAGACAGCTCAGTTTCACTTCTAGCACAATATGTCGTAGAATTGGAGAAACTGGGAGAAATATGTTGATGATATAATTATTTGAAATCACATAAAAGTATTAATGAAATTCTGCAGGTTTTTAATGATTATGATGAGCTGATAAAGTTCACAATAGAAGAGGAGGATTGTGACAAGATTATCTTCTTTTTAGATGCCAAGTCGATTAAAAGACAGGATGATTCGTTCTTAACGTGGTTTAGAAAGCCAGGGTTGTCTGGCAGATAACTATATTACAATTCCTTCCATCCGAAAAAAAAAAAAAAAAAGAAAATGGCACCACTCACGACAACTTTCGTGAACAAAATCTAAAAAACTGGCAGAGTTATTTTTTCAAAACAGATCTCATCTACAAATTACTCTTTAAGAGATCATATATCAACTTTGCTATTGATATTTTGACTATAGTAATATTATAGTATCAAAAAAACGATAACAATCATTATAATAATACGCAAACCCCACAACTTACGTTTTATTTTTCATTACCTCGTCTAGGTAGTCTTTTTTAAAATCTCTCAAGTCAATCGTGTGAAATAAGCTTTCAAAAATCTCCCGCACGCACGCACGCAATATATGATTATGTAATAGTTTTGACTAAAATAATATATTTGTGATGATCTGTTTGGAACCTGATCTTCCTCTTGAAGATGATCACTTGGCGATCGAAACACGTGTCGAGGTGTTGAATTAACGGTTTGGTGTTGGGGAAAAACTCCAGTAATAAAATAATAAATGTGAATACATATTAATTTTAGTAAGCGAATAACATTATTGTTTGAAATATTTGCTTTGTTCGTGGCTCCCGGGAGTTGCACCTTCCTCCCCAGGTACGGTAATGATTACAGTGAATATGGACATTTCCCTACCTGCGGCTCCTGTATAAGGTGTATAGGCATCAAATCCATTTGCGTACTGCCCTGTATATGGCGCAGCTGCTGCTGCCGCTACTGCAGCAGCATTTTGGTATTCATAAAACTGTGACGTGGCAGCTGCAACAGCTGCTGCGTGTGTCAGTTGCGTAGCTTGAAGTGGTACTAAGCTGCCTGGGGCTGTAGCTGCCAAATAAGGAGACTGGTACACATATCCGGGCGGCATCCTGAAAATGATTGGCTTTGTTCAATTGTTTGGATTAGGTCGCAAAATTTTCAGCACAGCAAGCAACACGAGAAGAAATAAATACCAAAAACTTTTCTGATGCACTAAAATGACCAACTCAAATATCAAAAAAAAACATTGGGTTTTGAAAATTTGTTTTGGCAATATGTTTTGACTTCCTTCATTTGGTTGGCTTGTTGAAAAATATAGAAAAAGTTTTACAGGAGTTGGGGAGACAACTGAAGGTCAAAATCAACCAGTGGATCCGGAAGTTATGCAAATGAATGTAGGGGAATTATTGTAATTGTATCACAAAGAAGCAAAACAAAATCAGAATAAAATGAACCACTCCTTAAACGTTCTTACACAACATACTGAGCTGATCAGCTAATTGCTGGTAGCATAACTCCTAGCATAGCAGCGGCTACCGGACAAAATGGAATTTAACTTGAAACCGTTGCATTTTAAAACACCAAAACATCACTAGAAAAGTGGTAGAAAAACTCACATATACTAATGGAACCCTTTCATCTATTTACGAGATGATATATCAACTCACCCCTTATGAAACTAGGTCGACGTCCGAAGTAATAAATTACTGAGGGTGTACGTACCTACCCTTCCAAACAAGTTCAAGTTCAAGACCGAAACTATATAATTCCCTTTCACCCTTTTTATCGGGGTTTACATGGCAGGGTGCTTTCCAGTAGGGCATAAGTGCATTGCCGAAACATTTAGGTTATTCAATTTTTCAAGCAATAACTCTCATTCAGAACAGTTGAAGGTTGACTGAAGAATAGTCGGCCAGGAATGTATCAGCCAATTTTTTATTTGATTATAAATATAGTAAAAATAAGAAGGTGCTATTTTTCACCATTTACAATTAATTATACGTTAATTAAATGTATCGTTTCAATTTTGCAATTTCTAAAGAAGCAAATGAATTTTTTGGTACATTAACCACGATAAAATGGAACTCTTCTGTGAAAACACATAATGTTGGCAGATTTCAAAAGCAATGATTCACATTAATCCACCATTGGTATTATCAGTATTCCAACATTTAAAAAGTACTGCATTGAGTTCATGAATTGAGACAATATATAATCCAGTATATTGATGTTTTAGTATTGTTAACCATCGTATACTTGAGTGTTTTTAAATTTTTCTTCAGGTTGCGAAATTGCATGAAGCAGAAACAATGGCACGTATTTATTGCTAGATCCTAGATTAACTAACTGAATAAATTCATATTTCACAATATCCAACGCATCTAGTTAGGGAGACTAATAGAGAAATTTAGTTCTATCAAGTATATGAGGTTAATGAAAAAAACAGACAAACTAGGATTTCATACCAACAGTGTAAGAAAAAGTACAAGTAAAATAATCAGCTATTGAAGAAATACTTTGAGATTTTCACTCAACAGTTTTACAAAAATGCAACACGAGTTTTGCAATACAATAGCTTCTTCAGACGTATGAAGTAACGCCTGAAGAAGCTATTTGGTCGAGTTCATATAGGTGTGAGTGACAATAAACCCTCGCGGGTTGCAGTGGTGAGTCGAATAGACCCACCCTCACTTTACATTTCCTTCACCCTACCTATGTGCTGAACTAATTCATATCGATATTGTCCTGATTACTGTTTAGCCAATGATAAATAATAAAACAACAACAACCAGCTTGCACAAATGCAATATCAGTTAGTGTTTGTAGTAAGTCAACTTACAGAAAAAAACTTTGTGTGTAGAGTTTTAGGGAATCCAGTAATGCTTTATAAAGTAGAGGTTTCAGAATGGATTTTTGGAGACCTACAATTTTTTTTACGACTTTCAAGAATGGTAAAAATAATGGTTATATTTTACCCTAGATACAGAAAAGTGTACTTTATTAATGAGAAAAAATTCGACACTATGTGGAATGTTTAAAAAAATCATGAAAAAATACACAATTCCACGTTTTCTCAACCTAACTCGAGTTCTAAATTTATTTTGTTGTCTTTGGAATGCGTGGCCGAGAAGAATCCGTAAATCGTAAGTTTCGTGACGCAATCCTCCAGATAGTTTTGTTCGTTATCGTATGACAGTAAGTATGAAAGCTCAATTCGAAAGCAGTGTTCGAATCGACTGATGAATGTCGAGGATCACAATAAAATCCCTATGAATAAAGTCTACTTCATTGTTATTTAGCGTTAACGTGTCCTACCCAATTTATTTCAATGGATAAAAAAAGCAATGAAGTGCGCAGTCTTTTAGTATTTGTACGTTAAACTGAAACATTTTTGGCTGTCTTGAATTCCAGTGCAGCTATTAACAAAGCCTTCATTGTGAGATATCATCTTAACTTTGAAATTTGCTGCATCTATAATTCCATCATGGATCAATGCCTGCACTTTCATTTGTTCCACGTATTCTTTTGGAAATTGGGGATAGGCTAGATTTATTGGTCGTTCTATATCTGCCCCAAGCTCCTGAAAGGATTCCTAAGGTTGTTGATGCCTACTCGGTAGTTGGCTATGGTACACTTGCTTCAGGTACTGGAGCCGACGCCCAGTTCTTCCGCCATCCCACGCACCGTTTGTGACGGGGAATTCTCCACCAGGGTCATCAAACCCTCGTCTTGGATCACTGAAGGTCGACCACTGCAGGACTCATCTTCGTGGCTAAAATCCCCGGAACGAAATTTTGCAAACCAACGTCGAGCAGTGCGTTCTTTAACACTATCACTGCCAAAAGCATGGCAAAATTTTTGGGCTGTTTCGGTAGCTCTTTGGTTCGAATTGAATTCGTAGAGAAAATTTGTCCGAAAATTGCTTAATGACATCATATAGTAATAAGCTGAAGAGAGGTGAAAAATGAAAATTTGGAAAAAAATTAACAGTATCAATGTATAGAGTACAAAATTCTTTATCGATCGGTATACACCTCTTATGTTATATACTTCGTGCATTTATCTTTTTTGATTTCAAATTTCATAAGTGCAAATTAGTTCCGATAAATTGTATGTAGGTACTCTTGGGTATATATTATTGATGGAACCACAAACAAAGAGACAGCCACACGAATGAGTAAATTAGGACAATTATAAATAAGAAAATACCGTCTAATTCTATTTTGCCGATCTGTGTTCGACTCCAGTATCGAGCTATTTATTTTTGGATAAATCTTTATTTCAATACGGTTGGATTACTACTCTGTTACAGAGTTAGACTTTTAATGGCACACGCACCAAAATACTTTGCATTCGAGTCTGCAGCCACCATATAGAAGCACAAAACAACATATTTGTGAAAAACTATAAACAAACCATGTTTCTGGCTTGTATTCCTCTTTAGTATTGTTTGTCGTTAGTAGTTAATATGTGATTCCACTTCATCGAAATATTAAAAGGTGATTCGTTAATACAATTTATTTTTCTTTGTGAATGAAAAAATGAGAGAAAAAAAGGATTGATTATTAATACAAGAATTCAACAGTACGTCAAAATATTTTTGCGAATCTTAAAACCTAGAAAGTATGCAGTATTTTGGGTGATTGAAAATAATTCAAAAAATCTTCCAGGCAAGAACAGTTGAAAATTAGTACTGTCGGACTCACAATATTTGTTTGAAGGTGTTTGAAAATGTTTCACGATGAATTTCGTAAGTTCGGAATTTCATTGTCTAATATTATATAAAATGATTTGAAATCCCTGAAAGAACCAATACAAATGAAAAATTAAAAATAATAGCTGAAAATAACAATTATATTAAGCAAAAAAAACCGTGAAATGAAATAACAGTGAAATAAAATACAAGTAAAAATAGAACAATTGAACAAAAAATAAAAAAAATAAAAAAAAAATCAAGAGATTCCAAGCCAAGTTACTTCACCACGTTTCGATTGTTAGTATCCACAATCGTCTTCAGGTGATAACTGGACTAATTCCTCCGAGGTGTGACTATTTATGGGTCATTCGAGTACTTTCACTTATCTCCTGTTTCCGCTCTACGCTAGCTTGGCTGAATACATTGTTGGACAACATGTATGCGGCTTCTTTGAATTTCCTCTCAAACCAGTTTTCCTCCCTGTGTATGATCTCAGCTTAGGACCACTCGATGTTATGGTAGGAAAAGGCTCACAATAGTCAGTCATTCTTCGAAATTCTATAATGTTTTGATTGCTGATCTCATTTACTTAAATGTAAAGCTGATTTGTGAACCTTGCCGAAGATAAACCTAATCCATTAAAGTGAAAAGTGAAGTCTAAACTCAAAGAACTCATTGATTCCGATATAATAGAATCTGTTCATGGGTCATCGCGATGGGTTTCCGCAATGATATTCATCTGAAAAGAAAATGGTGATATTCATATCTGAATAGATTAAGGAATGCCAAACTCTGTTCATGAGTGAACATTTGGAATGCACTTCGTCAAATTTCGAAGAACAGTCGATATATTATCGAATTTATCGCAAGTACTAGACTATATCTGCCAAGAGGACCAGTATGGAGAGACTATGACATCTGTCAGTATAGAGGTTGAATATCTGGGAGTGATACTAGATCCCAGATGGAATTGGAACCAATACAGAAAAAAAAGGAGGAAGGAGCACTGATGCTGGCCAGACGTACTTATGGAAAGGAATGGAGGCTGAAACCAGACCTGATGTATTCGGATAAACTGAATGGTGACTAAACCCATAAAATATACTTCTTTGGTTTGGTAGTCAAAGATGAAACAAATTGAGCAAGGTGCCAATACCTGCTTATTATGGGAATAACGGGAGCTGGAGAAATGACATTACAGCTACCCTCTTGGTCAATACACATTCGTCTTCAAGCGGTAGTGTATGCAATCTTTGAGGCCTCCAGAAAGTGGGCAAATCAAAATGTTTCAGACAGCCGGTTGCACTCGAGCATTGATTAACCTGAAAGTGACTAATCTGGAAATATCGTGAAGATCTAAAGAAACTGGTGGACCAAAACAGATCAACTCTATACTTGGGAATCACAGAATAC